CCCGGATTCTCTATCAGCCCAGAACTAAAACAATTTCCGAGGCCAACTCTTCAGACAGGGATTGGACTGGACTGTGGGACATGAAGTGATACTCGTGAGGAGTGTGCCTCTTAGCTCAAGTAGATACAAGAGACTAAATGAGCAGCTTCAGTCTGAAGGTGAGATGGGAAGGCAGAGAGGGTTTGGAGCTGATTGAATGGACGTGGGGAATCAGGGGTGGGAAGGAAGAGTGTGCTGTCACAGTATGGGGAGAGCAATTAGAGTCACTTAACAACGTATGTATAAATTTTTGTATGGGAAAAAATTGAAGAAAAAAAAAGATTGGTTGTCAGAACATGGGACAATCTGACCTGAGAGGGTGATTAAAGGATCAGCAGCAAAACTCAGGATAGAAGGCCTGGAGTATGAGAAAAGGGTAAGGAGGATGCTAATGAGGGACTGAGCTGAGAGAGCAGCCCCAGAAACAGTGAGGAAAAGTGGGATCTGTACAAAGACATTGCTAAGGAAGAATCAACAGGGCTTGATGGCTTACTTGAGATGAAGCACGTAGAGGAGACCATTCAAAGTCTTGAGTCTCAGACACAGTGAAGCATGAGAACTTTGGAAAGGAGACATATTTGAGTGGGAAAGTGATGCTCTTGGAGTTTAAATATTCATATAAGTAGCATGTATTTATTGAGTTCCTACTGTATGCCTGACACCAAGGATGGAGCGGTGAGCACAACAGACAAGACCTTGCCATCAAGAAATCCAAATTCTCCTGGGCAGAAAGAGAAGTAACAAGTAAATGAAGAAAATAGTTACTGATTTTTGAAAACTGCTAAGAAAGAAATTGTTGTTGTTAGTTGCCATGTAGTCAATTCCAACTCATGGCGACCCCATGTATGCAGAGTAGAACTGCTCCATAGGATTTTCAAGACTGTGACCTTTCAGGAGCAGATCTCCAGGTCTGTCTTCCGAGGTGCCTCTGGGTGGGTTTGAACCACCAATCTTCTGGCCAGTAGTCGAGCACTTAACCATTTGTGCTGCTCAGGGACTCCAAAAAAGAAATTAGCAAAGTGATATGAAGGACTTTGTTAGGTATGATAATCAAAGGTGACATTTAAATTAAGTCCTAGATGATGGGACAGAAACAACCATGCAAAGATCAGGGAAGAGCCTTCTTAGGCAGAAGGAATGGCATGTGGCAAGGCCCTAAGGCAGGAAAGAGCTAGTTGAGATCAAGCAACAGAAGTCAGAGTGACTGAGTGTAACAAGGAAGAAGGACACCCAAGAGGTAAGTGAGGCCAGGAAGGGCAGGACCTCACAGGACATAGCAAGGAGCTTGGATTTTATTCTTAGTGAAACAGGAAGCCATTGTATGGTGTCAAACCAAGCAGTGACAGGATATAATGGACTTTTTGACTGCTGTATAAAGATATAATTAAATGAGAAAGCCATTAGGAGACTATTGTACAAGCTCAGATGAGAGATGACCGTGGCTTGAACTAGATGGAAAGAAGTGGATGGTTTTGAGATGTACTGCAAAGGTAGAGCCACAGGACTTGCTGATAGATTGAAAGAAGGAGTAAGGCAAAGTGAGAAATCAAGGATGGCTTCTAGGTTGGGAGCAACTGGATACATGGTGCTATCATTTACTGAGAAGGGAACAAATGGAACAGTAACAAGTCTTGGTAAAGTGAGGTCCCTGCCAAGAGTTCCATTCTGGGTACACTAGGCATCCAAGGGGAGATAACATTTAAAAGGGCAGATATATCAGTTTAGAGGTTAGAGAAAGCTTGGGGTTAGAGACATAAATTTGGGAATGATCCACATATAGATGGTGTTTAAAGCATCTAATGAGAAGAATATAGAGAAAAAAGAGCTTAGAAACAGACCCTAGAGATTGGGAGGAGAAGGAGGATCTGACTGGTGCATCCTGTTCTCCCTGACTAACAAACACACACACACACACACACACACCTTCCTTCCTTCTTCACTTCTCTGTAAGTAAGGAGCCCTTGTGGCTCAATGGCTAAGCACTTGCCTGCTAACTGAAAGGTTGGCTGTTTGAACCCACCCAGCGGCTCCAGCTATTTCCGTAAAGATTGGAGTCAAGAAAACCTCATGGGGCAGTTCTACTGTGTCACACAAGGTCACTATGAGTAGAAAATCAACTCAACAGCACAACAAGTATAACTACATGAAACTGCCAAAGAAAAACAGGGTACAGTCAAGAATTATTTAATAGAACTGTGGGATCAAATGATGTTGGGACTCAGGGTTGGAAGACAGTCGTCAGTCTGCAGAAGTTGATCCCAGGCTTCTAGTTGTGTTTGAGGCTTCAACTCTGAAGTGCACATACTTTTGCTGCACACAGCACTTAGTCTCAACGTTGCATAATATATGGAATACTTCCCCATTTTTACACGTTGTTCTGCACCTACCCGACTTACCCCAACACTTCATGACTGAAAGCAAAATGGAAGAAGGAAGAAAGGTCAGTCTTGAAATAAAGTAGTGGGCTGGGGAAGGGATAGGCCAAAGCCCAGTAGAGTATAGAGTGGTCAGGGAGATAAAGAGATCTGTGGGGAAAGAAGTCCTCCCAAGGTATCTCCCGGGCTTAGGGGTGATTATACACCGCAATCTTTTCTCTTCCCGCTTGACTCTCCAGTCACAACCCCCAAAGTCCTCCCCACTCAATGGCCTGCGACCTACTAGGAATCTTCCCCTCCCTGGCCAGATCCCTTGAGGCAGGCAAGAGAGGATCCTCCTCTCTCCTGGGTTTTATCTCTTCTATATTATAAGGCACCCATGTGCCCAGTATCAATTAGCCACATTTCCCCTTGCCCTTTGGTGTCTCCTCCAACTATATAAATGAAAGGAGATGGGAATCTGAAATGCACCCATCTGGACATCTGCAAGTCTTCTAGGGTCTCTATGAAACTCCCAAGAATGTCACACTCCCTTCTCCACAACATCCAGGGGTCCTTTGCTGGTCTTAACCAGTCAAGGAAGTAGGAACAGCTGCTCTCAGGAAACTACATCCCAAGGTAGCCCAATTCTTAATTTGAGGTAGCATGTGAGCATGGAATCAGAATCCTCAAATAATCAGAACTTCAGGAACCATTTTCATGGAGGCAATAATAAATCAAAATTAAAATCCCCCCAAGGGGAGGCGTGGGGATGGAAAAACACTAAATACACTATAGGTAAGTGGTAACTTTCATGAAGGGTAAGATAGTACACAATGCTTGGGAAGCCAGTACAAATTGTCCAAGGCAAGGTCTTGGAAGCTCCATAGACACATCCAAACTCCCTGAGGGACTCAATTACTGGGCTGAGAGCTGTGGGGACCATAGTGTCGGGGAACATCTAGCTGAATTGGCATAACGTAGTTTATAAACAAAGTGTTCTACATTCTACTTTGGTGAGTAGTATCTGGGGTCTTAAAAGCTTGTAAGCAGCCATCTAAGATACTCCACTGGTCTCATCCCATTGGGAGCAAGGGAGAATGAAGAAAACCAAAGACACAAGGGAAAGATTAGTCCAAAGGACTAATAGGCCACAGCTACCACAGCCTCTACCAGGATGAGTCCAGCACAACTAGATGGTGCCCAGCTAAACCACTGACTGCTCTGACAGGTATCACAATAGAGGGTCCCAGACAGAGTTAGAGAAAAATGTAGAACAAATTCTAACTCACAAAAAAAAAGACCAGACTTACTGACCTGACAGAGACTGGAGAAACCCCGAGAGTATGGCCCCTGGAAACCCTTTTAGCTTAGTAACAAAGTCACTCCTGAGTTTCACCCTTCAGCCAAAGATCAGACAGTCCCATAAAACAAAATGAAACTAAAGGGGTACACCAGCCCAGGGGCAAAGACTAGAAGGCAAGAGGGGACAGGAAAGCTGGTGATTGGGAACCCAAGGTTGAGAAGGGAGAGTGTTGACATGCCGTGGAGTTGGTAACCAATATCACAAAACAGTATGTGTACTAATTGTTTAATGAGAAGTTAGTTTGTTTAGTAAAGTACAATAAAAAAAAAAAAAAGGAAAGAAAAAAAAAATGAAATCCCCCAAGGAATGCTTTTAGAAAAGCCCCCATTTTCTCTATACACCATGGCCAAGTTTCTTTCCCCCAATCCCTTTTCTAGGGCATCATGATCAGCTTCTCCAGAAACGAGAGATAAGGTCAGAGTGGTCAAATAGTGGACACTGTAGGGATCAAATGGTACCAGAGAACTCAAACTTCTCCTGGGCTAGAGAAACCATCCAAAGGCCTCAGCGAAATCTGCAAGGCCATTCTTTCAGCCCAAGCTGTCAGAGCCCCCAGAGTTCCCTGAACATGCAACAGGTTCCCTGACCCATTCCCCTTGGGAGAGATCCTGGTTACCTGAGGTGACCTGGGCCAGGACCAGGGAAACAGTCAAAACCAGGAGAAAGAGCTTCATAAATGATAGGTGCTCGGGGATAGGAGGCTTCTGGGCTGGCGAGACAGGTAGAGATCTCCATTCTGGGCAGGCCAGACTCTAGTATTTATTGCCCCAAGAGCATGGCTGAGCCATGATCAGTGAACCAGAAAGGGAACAGTCATTTGAGGTCAGACAGGCAGGCAAGTAATCAACCACATTGACTGAATGGCTGGCAGTTACACTACCCTCTCCTGCACTTTCAGAGGAAGCTGGAGGAGGAGGAAGGAAAGTTAACAAAGACAATACAGTCTTGCCTTTGAAGAGTTTCATAACACAACTGGGGAGCCAATGGAAGAAAAATGTTTTTACTGTAAATTCATTTCTGATTAATGAGAAAGGAAAAAAAAAAAAAAAAGACAGACTCCAAATAAGACAGAAAAAGAGTACTACTTATGTATTCCTTGCATTCTTTCCAAGAATAAAGAACTCAATCACTCTTAAGATGTCCCACATGGTGGTGGTTCATTGTAAGGATACCAAAGAAAGGATAGAAGCAGAGGAAAATGTCTTGATAACTCCATGGCCATCACCCCTGGAAACTAGAATATCAGTATTCATGGGGTGAGATTAGCAGGAAAGCCACAGCCCTTACTTTTAATAAGTCGTGTTTAATGGAAACAAGTAGCATCCCTTCTAGATGGCAAACGAAAAGTCACTTACTACTATTGAGGTATCTTTCATAAGGCGGTAGATGGCATTGTTGACCCCAATTCTTCATCCTTACCCAAACTACATATTTGCCAAGGCCTCATCCTAGAAGGAATGTACTTCACTGCCCCTTCACTTTGGTCTTGGCCATGTGGCTTGCTTTGGCCAATAATATAGGAGCATAAGTGACAGTATGCCAGTTCTGAGCCTAAGTCTTAAGAGATGATGCGTATTTTCACTTGCCCTTTTGTGCCTCTGCCAACACCGTAAGAAGGACATGTCCCAGCTAGTCCACTGGTCCAAGGAGGATGAGAGATATGTGGAGCAGAGCCAACCCAGGTGACCCTCAGATGTGCAGTGAGAAACAGAGTTGCCTCAGCCACTACAGCTCCAAGCACAGCAATCCAGCAAGGCCCAGCCTAGATTAGCCAAACTCCAGTTTACCAGCTAACACGTGAGTGATAATAAAGGATTGCTACTTTAAGCCACTGAGTGTTGGGTTGGAATGTTACATAGTAATAGCTAACTAATACACAAGGCCAGCAGATAGGTGAGAAAAGAGTCAAGTACTGTTTAGACTAATGACAAAGTCTATCATTTCAAAACGAGCAGAAATAAAGCCATACCGTTGTTGTTAATGGCCATCGAGTCGGTGGAGTCATGGAGACGTTATGTATAACAGAGCAAAATGTCATCTTCATGATCATTGGTATAAAGCCATACTAACGTGGGTGCTATCTTCTTTCTTGGAATAAGACTGTTGTCTCCGAGAAAAATTAATGCTGTAGACCAGGAGTCATCAAACTTTTTCTATAAAGACCCAGAGAGTAACTATTTTAAGCTTTGTAGGCTATACAGTCTCTATCACAACTACTCAACTCTGTCGTTGTAGCACAAAAGCAGCCACAGACAACACCTAAACAAATGGATGTGGCTGTGTTCCAAAAAAACTTTATTTATAGACACTGAAATTTGAATTTCCTATTATTTCCACATGTCACTAAATATTCTTCTTCTTCTGATTTTTTCCCCAACTATTTAAAAATGTAAAATCCATTCTTAGCTCATAGGCCATACAAAACCAGGGAGCAGGCTGGATCTAGACTGGGAAACATTAGAAAACTGACTCATGCCAGCTTTCTATAACCCGAGGAAAATGTAGACATGTGTGGCTCAGTGGTAAGCATCGGGCTGCTAACAAAAAAGTCATTTATTCAAATCTACCAGCTGCTCCTTGGCAATCCTACGGGATGGAGCAGTACTGCTCTGTACTATAGGGTCACTATGAGTCAGAATCAACTTGATGGCAACAGGCTATATATATATATACACTTCACTGGTTTTGGTTCTCTAATGAACCCAGCCTAAGACATTTGGTATCAGGAGTTCTACAGAAACAAAATTATAAGGATGAGTTTTCTAAATTGGTTCTCAAGTCTAGTTAGTTTTAAAGATGTTGATGACTCTGCTTCCAGTAGTAAAGAGGGCACTGCTAATCCATGGTGTGAGGTGGCAATAGAAATACACAAAACATCACCACCAATAGATCAGGTATTGGTGAGAGGTGAGGCTCTGGGTGACTGCATGTTTGATACTTTTCTACAATTTTGTCAGAATGAGAAGTGTAAGGAAGCTGACTGGTTGGTCCTACTTTCACTAGACAAAGTGGCAGAAGAAAGAGAAGAGCTCAGGGCTTCAGAGTCACAGCTCAAGCATCACATAAAAGACTTGAAAGTTGCCACCTTTGCCCTGAAAGAAAGCCTTATTTGTTGTAGTAACAGAGCCAGTATTGCAGAAAACCAAACACAGAGTCTTATAATAAGAGTGGCTGAATTACAATGCCAATTGAATTCCCGACCTTGAATGGTGTCGGAAGTTAAAGTGAGGACATTGATTGAGAAGAAATGGGATCCTGAAACTTGGGATGGGGACATATGGGCAGATAAGCTGGGGACATTAAGCCCCTGAATTCCATTGGATCACACCTGCTCAGCAGAACCAACCCTTTTACTCCCATCTGAAGAGATTAATCCACAGTAAGCTCATTATCTCTTCCACCCTCATCTGATGAGATTAACCTAGCTGTGTCTGAGGAGCTGTATCTGAGATATCACCTGGGCCGGAGTCTGGAGAACTGCCTGAGGCATTGCCTGAGGCAGATGATGTACAAGACATAGCTGAATGTCCTCAGGAACCACCCCAACAATCTATTATTGTTTCTAGACCTGTAACTAGACTTATGTTCCACAAACCCCAAAAGGTAAAGTACAAAGTGTGACCCAGGAGGAGGTACACTACACTCCAAAAGAACTGCTTGATTTGTTTAATGTGTACAAACAGAAACCTGAGGAATATGTATGGGAATAGCTATTAAGGGTGTGGGGTAATGGTGCAAGGACCATAAAGTTAGATCAATCTGAGTTTATTAATATGGGCCAACTAAGCACAGATTCTTCATTCAATGTTTCAGCTTGAGGGGTTAGGAAAGGATCTAATAGCTTATTTTGTTGGTTCACTGAAGCATGGATTACACCGTCGCCTACACTAAATCCAGTTGAAGTACCAGACCTGCGTTGGTATACTGTAGAAAAAGGCTTAGGGAAATTGGCATGTTAGAGTAGATTTATCAGGTTAGACCCATAGACCCACACATGGAGTGCCCAGAGGACACACCTTTTATCACAACAGTGAGGAACAAATTTGTGAAGGGAGCCCCAGAATCCTTGAAGACTGCTGTGATTGCTATTTTATATAAGTCAGATTTGACAGTGAGAACTGTCCTAACTGAATTAAGGCAGCTAATTATAATAGGGTTGATTGGACCCCTTGGTGGTAGGCCAAGTGGCAGTAGTCAATTGACAAAGAAAAGATGAGTGTGGTTACCATAATGAACAGTGGAGTCAAAGCAGGAATCAGAATAGTCTGACCGGTATGGACCTACGGCATTGGCTACTTAGTCATGGTGTTCTAGGAGTGAAATAGATACAAAATCTACTAAATATTTACTTGATCTGTACATGTGGAAGAGTTCTAGGTCAAGTGAATGGCAATCTAACTCGAATCGCCAGAATAGAGAGTGTCGGCCCCTCAATCAATTCCCAGATTTGAGCCAGTTTACAGAACAACAACCCCTTGAATGAAGGGAAGGCCGGGTGCCCTGGAGGAAGGATCCCATTACACTGCCAAAAATATATACTGTTAATCTTTCTCCCAGCCTTCCCCAAAGGGGTCTACAGCCTTTCATGAGAATGACTGTTCACTGGGGAAAAGGAAATAATCAGACTTTTCGGGAATTACTATATACTGGCTATGAACTCACACTAATTCCAGGAGACCCAAAATGTCATGTGGCCCACCAGTCTGAGTGAGGGGTGTATGGAAGTCAGGTTGTTAATGGAGTTTTAGCTCAGGTTCATCTTACAGTTGGTCCAGTGGGTCCTTGAACCCATCCTGTAGTGATTTCCCCAGTTCCAGAATGCATAATTGGAATAGACACACTCAGCAACTGGCAAGATTGGGTCCCTGGCAAGTGGAATAAGGACTATTATGGAAGGAAAAGCCAGATGGAAGCCATTAGAACTGCCCCTACCTAGGAAACTGGTAAACCAAAAGGCAATACCACATTTCTGGAGGGATTACAGAGATTACTAACATCACCAAAGACTTGAAGTATGCAAGGGTGGTGATTCTCATCACATCCCCATTCAACTCGCCTATTTGGCCTGTGCAAAAAAGAGATGGATCTGGGATAATGACAGTGGATTATGAAAAATTTAACCAGGTGGTGATTCCAATTGCAGCTGCTGTTCCAGAAGTAGTTTCACTGCTTGAGTAAATCAATGCATCTCCTGGTACCTGGTATGCAGCTATTGACTGGATAATACCTTTTTCTCCATACCTACTTCAAAGGACCATCAGAACAGTTTGCTTTCAGCTGGCAAGGCCAACAATATATCGTCATTGTCCTACCTCAGCGGTATATCAATTCTCCAGCCCTGTGTCATAATCTAGTCTGCAGGAACCTTGATCACCTTTCCCTTCCACAAGACATCACACTTGTCCATTACGTTGATGAAGTCATGCTAATTTAACCTAGTAAGGAAGAAATCTCAATGACTCTGGACTTATTGGCAAAACATTTGCATGCTAGAGGGTGAGAAATTAATCCAAAACAAATTCAGATGCCTTCAACATCACTGAAATTTCTAGGAGTCCTGTGGTGTGGGGCAGGTCAAGACATTCCTTCTAAAGTGAAAGACAAGCTATTGTATCTGGCCTCTCCCACAACTAAAAAGAAGACACAATGCCTCTTTCTATTTTGGAGGCAGCATATCTCTCACTTAGTTGTGCTACTCTGGCCTATTTATCAAGTGACTCAAAAAGCTGCTAGTTTTGAGTGGAACTGAGAACAAAAGAAGGCTCTGCAAAGGGTTCAGGCTGTTATAAAAGCCACTCTGCCACTTAGGCCATGTTATTTGGCTGATCCAATGGTGCTTGAAGTGTCAGTGGCAGACAGAGATGATGTTTGGAGTCTTTGGCAGGCCCCTATTGATGAATCACAGCAC